TTCGCATTTGATTTTACTTGTGGTAGAAAGCATCACGTCCCTGGTTTTATTTGGTTCTATCCACCGCCACCCACGAGTCCACGACTGACTCCGCAAATTCTATTACATCATATTTTGCTGACTCATCTCTACAATAATACTAATGTGCGGATATGCAAATGAGCTCGCTCCGTTGATATCGGTCCGATTACATCTGATATCGGTCCGTTCCCATCGAAAGTTCTTGCACGAACTCCGCAAAAACTGCTACACCCCTTGAACTGAGCTTCGGTAGTTCGGTTCCTCTGGGGTTGCGATTGTGTGGAAAGGTCTCGAATCTTCGTTTGCTCGCTTCCCTCGCTCCGAATTTGCGACGTGTCTTCTCTCAATGGGCCTTGCTCAACGAGGCCATTTTCTTTGCTAACGCTTCGCTCTCTTTGTTTGTCTTTTCAAAGACTTTTTCTAGCGCTTTCCTGGATGTTTTGAAAACGTCGATTGTCATCCAGTCAGTAGTTGTTGATTGAAAACCTTGACCTTTGATTCTAGAGCGAATATCCCTTTTCATCCCTAACTTTTTTGAAAGAGATCGAGTACCTTTTCAAAGGATTTTTCAAAACATTTCCTCCCTCCCTTTGATGGGTAAAATACTGGCTTTTGCGTTCGCGTTTCTAAAGGTTCTTTCTCTCTCTTTTCTCTTGCTCTCTACAAAAAGTTTCAAAACTTCTTCCTCCAGCAACCCTTCAATTTGAACGGAGGCTTTTCAAATTCGTTTCGCTTTCCACAAAGAAGCTACTGTGTGCCGATAATTTCGGTGATTTGGAATTGGATAAATCTACGTGCACTGCTGCTTGGCATTCCTTTTCGAACTCGAAGCGGTTGTCGACGGTCGTGTTCTGTGCTACAGTGCTACAGTTACAGCTACAGTTACAGCTACAGCTACAGCTACAGCTACAGCTACAGGTGAGTCTCGCTAGCTTTTTCTAAACTTTTCGCCGTCATTTTCCTTTCCTTTTTATCGATCGATCGATTAAAACCCCGTTTGTTATTATTTCGTTTGCAAGAGCCATGTAATTCGCGCTTCTGACGATCTTCCTTTTCTTCGTTTTAGTAGCTACGCACACTGCTGCCCGTTTTTTGGTTTTGCAATGGCTGCTGGCTGTTCCACTTCTTCACTGGTATCAGAATCGATGGCATGCGAATACAAGTAAGCGTTGTTGTTCTTACGTGTTTTCGATATTACTTTTTTCAAATGATTTTGTGCTCATTTCGATGAAATTACACTAAAAACCGGCTGCTAGACCCCCGCTGCGAACGAAAACTTTTTACCTCTTCTCGTGGTTTTGTGCTTAAAGGAAACTGGATTGGCTTTATTGCAATCAAAGTATGAAGAATTGTGGTAGAGTTTTCCTGCTGTTTATTCTTGATGCAAGAAAATTTGATTTTCATAGGAAACCCGTTGTAATGCGAATTATGTAATCCCGCCAGCCCCCAACTTTTTATGCCTATCGAGAATCCTTTGCAGCAACTTTTCATAACCGCCTTCCTTTTTTGTAGATAAACGATCGGATTCGCTGACTTTTTGGTTCAACAAGTGAGTATTTTTCTATTAAATTTTCACTTTTTGTGAGATTTTCCCACTGAGAATGAGATGGGATTTGCCTGCCTCTTGAGTGACAATTATTCTAGAAACCATTTCAAATGACTTTATGCTTAATTTGATGAAATTACACTAAAAACCGGTTGCTAAAAGGAGTCGCTAGACCCGCCACGAACGCCTTTCTCTTAATGTTTTACCTCTTCGTAGTTTTGTCCTTCAAGGAAGATGGATTTGCTGTATTGCTCGCTTCACAAGAACAAGTTCAAATGATTTTATGCTTAGTTCGATGAAATTTCACTAAAAACAGGTCGCATAAAGGGGTGGCTAAACCCTCGGGGCGAACCTTTTTTTCTGAAATTTTTACAAAGCATTATGACTATGGATTTCCTTAAAAAGTGCTTTCATTAACCATGGAATAACATCTTAATTATTTGTGATGTTCTTCATCTAGATCAAAGATCGTTTCAAGCAATAATTATGACCCAGACGTGATTCTTGACTGTGGAGAAAAGGACTAAAGTTATATAGATTAGCTGTTGTCCGTAAATTGTATTTTGTTAATTTGTTGTTGGAGTAAGAATCATTTCTGATGCACGAAACTTTGGCTGTTTTCTATCTTTCCATTTCTTAAGTGCTTTGTTGCTGCAGTGTTTCAAAAGCTAATTGTGACGAAGATATGATATGTGGACCTCAAATGTATAGAACTGCGTAATAACTTTACAACTCTTTGGGGTTTAGAAGAGGTGTTTGATTCAGAATAAACAGGGAGCTTTGAGCGTGGCCCGCAATTATGTCTAAAAACAGCATCACAAGTGAACAAAGATTGAACGAAGTGCTTTAAAATGAACATTACAGCTCTAAGAATGACTTTAGAAAATATTTAAAAATGCCCCATAAGTCGACGAGGGCTAAGAGTGTATGATTGGAAAACTTAAAAATTTGATTCTGACTAAATAGGAGAACCTCTAGGAGTAACCCATGAAAATGTGCCAACGAGCATAAGGAATTGGTGGGACTGGCAGAAGCATGTTGCTGTCAAGTTTAAAGTAGAATTCAGAATAATTAACAAAGCTTTTAGATAAGCCTGCAAGATATTTAAACGACCACCACGATACACCGAGAGATAAAAGAAGATGGAAACTTTGAAAATTGCAATTAGAATAAGCAGGAGAAATAAAGAGGGTAACCCGTGAAAGTATTTAAACGAGGACCCCAATTAGAT